TCGCCCCCTCCCTGTGCACTCACGTGGGGGCTCGGCCACGGTTGCAGCCGCTGCCTCCCTGCGATGCTCCAGGCAGGGGCCACTCGGTGGCCCAGAAAACCCAGGCTCCCAGCACCGCGTGGCAAAGCAGCAAGGACCTGAGGTTTGGATCCAGACAGAGGTGGGGTCAGGACCCAGGTGCCACTTAGCGCTGCGGTGACTCTGGGCAGCGTCCTCACCTGCCCGTAGGGGCGCCGTCCCCCGGATTTGGTGGCAGTGCCCCATCAAGGGGACAGTGTTACAGGACTGCTGGGTTCCCGTGGTACCGACGCCGGCGGCTCACAGACCCGCGTCCGGTGCCCCCCGCCCCCCCAGAGCTCCACCTTCCTCCGAGCACGCACCGCGGCGGCAGAGGGAAGGAGAAGCCGGCCCTGGAGGTCCTCGGCCTGTGGAAGGCCGTTGGTGAGTGTGTGTGTGCGCGCGCGCGCGGGGAGGGGGCGCGTCTCCACCACCTTCCTTGCCTCCCCCCCCCCCCCCCCCCCCCCCCCCCCCGGCTGCCGGCTTTGGAAACGGGCAGGTGTGGGCTCCGTCCCTCGCTCCTCAGTGCGCCACCTACTGGTGGGGGGCAGTTCCTTCCAGCCTCCAACCCCTCCTGCAGAACCCGATCCGTGGAAACACGCGGTGGTTCCGCTGTGTGGCTCCGGGACAGAGGCAGGTAGCCACCTGGCATGTGCCGGAGACGGGGAGTCACAGCGCCATCTGTCTACCTGTCTGCCTATCTATCCATTTTTAAGTTTTTATTTATTTTAAGTATTTTTGAGAGAGGCGGGCAGGGGCAGGGAGAGAGAATCCCAGCCAGGCTCCACGCTGTCAGCGCAGAGCCCGACGTGGGCCTCGATCTCACCAACCGTGAGACCATGACCTGAACCGAAGCCACTGGTCCGACGCTTAGCCGACTGAGCCACCCAGGCGCCCCTGCCGTTGCCGTTTTTAATGTTCTCTCCCTGCAAGACCGACATTCCCTCCGCCCTTGCTCATGGCCTGCTGGCCAGGCCACGTCCTGTCTCTGAGAGCCCCTCCGTCCCACCCTCACCGGGAGGGAAGGAGTCACGGGTGTGCACGGGGGTTCAGACACCTGGGTGGGCACACGGCGCACCGTGTGACCTGAACTGAGTCTCCTCACTGTTGTCACCGACCAGCACGGAGAGGCGTATGGAGGGCCGGTTTCTGGCCGGTGGCACTGTTGGTATTTGGTACCGATCGTTTGGTGCCGGGGCCGCCCTGTCTGCTGCGGGATGTTTAGCCGTGTCCCTGGCCTCCACCTACTAGGGGACCGGAGGATGCAGTGTCCCCACACGTTACCAAGTATCCCCGGGCTGGGGGAAATGACCCTGAACGGGAACCACAAAGTACGGGATTCCCAGGAACTAAGCGAACCACAGTCCCGTTGCTTGATTCCAAGCCCTGAGCTGGTTTTGTTCCTAGATGGGCTCCCCGATCCCCACTCTCAGCGGGTCCCCAGGAGGGGTCCGAGGGAGACCTTGGCCAAACCAGAGACGGCAGGTAAGCACGGGAGAGACGGGGCAGGAGACGTGGCCAGGGGAGCTCTGAGGGCCAACCGCCAACCCCGATGTTTCCCCACAGCCTGGCGCTTTTCCAGGAATGACCCCGTGCCCAGAGTCTGATCAGCCCTAATAGCACCCCCGGGCCTTTGCTGCAACGCCCACCCTCACCTCAAGCCCTCACTTGGACCCTGTGGGTCACCTCCAGCTCTGACCTGTGTCCGAAGTGAGATCTTTATTTCCAGCCTTTAACTCCTGCGGACCCGGTGCTCATCTGCACTCACGCTCAGGCGTATCCCTCGAAGCCCGTTCTGAACCCCACTTTCCTCAGAACACGGGCTCCGTTTCTCCCTGTGACCTTTGCCCCAGCGGTTGCCTCAGCCCGGACTGTTCTGTCCAGAGCTTTGCGTGGCCACATCCTTAGCCTCACGCAGAAACGGTTTTAGCCACAGCTCCCCCACCGTGGAGCCTGCCCCTGACCTTGTATCTGACGTGAACCCGCTTTCACCTCCATTTCTGTCACCTCCTCTTATTTTCATAGTAATATGTGCCAGTCTGTGCCTCGTCTTTGCACACTTATCTGCTGGTTCTCTGTCATCTCCCGATACAATCTAGGCTCAACCCCCCTTCCACTGCCTTCCTCCAGCTGGGCCTTCACCCCAGTTCCTTCAACCCTGGCCCTGGTTTTGGAAACGAACACCATGCGTTTGCCCCTCTGACACCCTGCCCGCGTTGGAGCTGACACGCCTCCTCAATCCTCCAAGCCCCACGCCCGCCGTCGCTGCCCCCGGCGCTCGGCAACACCCGCTACCACCAAGTGCCATCTTAAATGCGGAGGGAAAGGGAACTATGGCGGATGCAGAGAAAGGAGGGCAGGGCGAAAGGAACGGGGGGGGGGGGAGAACGAGGGGGGCGATCGGATACGAAGTGAACCAAGCCGCCTCCGCATCCCCAGCCTCAAGGGCCTGGCTTGGGTGGTGGCAGTGAACAGAACTACTCAGAACTCGCCTCTTTCTCTCCCACAGACGCGGGCCGCTCAGCAAGAAAGCTCCCAGCGAGGGACGGGCCCTGCGGTCCCAGGCGGCCCCAGGCCTTCTCTGCAGCCTCCTGAGCCCGTCTCGCTCCCTCCGCTGAGACTAAGAGCTTGAAATGAAAAATCCATCCCCAAATCCCATGTAGAAAATGTGGAGTGTTGGCAGAATTTTCCTCAGAAGTCCTCAGACTGTCTCGGGTTTCACTGCCTTATCCTGGGAATGAGTAGAAAGCGTTGTTAACAAATTCAAGAATAATTCTGGAGCCATTTAGTTGATGCAATCAGGGAATAGTTCCACAGGCCATGCAGAGAGATTGCATTCTTTGTTTTCATTTTTTTGTTTTGTTTTGTTTTTAGAGAGTGTGGGGGTTGGAGAGAGAGAGAGAGAGAGAATCCCAAGCAGGTTCCATGCTCAGCACGGAGCCCCAGGGCTCAATCTCATATCCTGAGATCATGACCTGAGTTGAAATAGAGTCAGACGCTTAACCCACTGGGCCACCCAGGCGCCCCAAAGTGACTGTATTCTTTGGAATCATCCCAATCATGACATGAGGTGTTGAATAACACGACACGAATATCCCCCTTACCACTGAGAGTCTCTGATATCTTGACTCAAAAAGATCCTGCCAAGTAGTGAGCTCGCCTTCCGTCATGCCCCCTGGGTCTCCCCCAGCTGGAAAATGAGAGGAAGTCTGGAGCAAAGTGGAGAGAATAAAATATTTCTTTTCAAATAATCCATGATTTCTTGTGTTAATTAGCGTGGGAAGTTGTGGTGGTCGCAAAGTCAAGACCGATAGGGTCAGGTGTGGGGGTGGGGGATACACCCTGTTGGAGGCCGCGGGTCGTGGATTATCTCCTGAAACAGCCTGATTACAATTCCGATTTCAGACAGCCATCCACACCTCGATCATTAAAAAATTTTTTTAAGTTTATTTATTTTTAAGAGAAAGACAGAGTGTAAGTGGAGGAGGGGCAGAGAGAGAGGCAGACACAGAATCTGAAGCAGGTTCCAGGCTCCGAGCTGTCAGCACAGAGCCAGATGCCGGGCTCAAACTCACAAACCGTGAGAGCATGACCTGAGCCGAAGTCAGACGCTTAACCGACTGAGCCACCCAGGTGCCCCTGGTTCATTCATTTATTTTTTAAAGGTTTTTAAAAATGTTTATTTATTCTTAAAAGAGAGAGTGTGTGTGAGTGGGGCCGAGAGAGAGAGAGAGAGAGAGAGAAAAACACAGAGTCTGAAGCAGGTTCCATTCTCCGAGGTGTCAGCACAGAGCCTGACAAGGGGCTCGAACCCACAGACTATGAAATCATGACCTGAGCCAAAGTCGGATGCTTAACTGACTCAGCCAACCAGATGCCCCAAGTTCATTCATTTTTAAACTTGCACATATTTTGAACCTATGTCTTATCATCATACAAGTTTATAAATTTTATACATTTCTGGAGGAATCTTTTTATCGTTACGTGATGCCTACCTTTATCCCTATTAAAGCAGTTTGCTTCAGATTCTCTTTGGGACCGATCCGGAAGGTCCCATGTCTGGTGCCTTGATGGCTCTAGGTAGGAGGCTGGGGTTAACTAGGACAGTTGACTGAGTGCCTGGGTGACGTCTCCAACATGACGTCAACCTCCCAGACAGAAGGGTGACTGTCTGCAGAGGGTTAGTGGAGGGTGTGGTGCCTTGAAGAGAGATGGCTTTCCTTGCAGGTGCAGATCACCCTCCAGATGTCCTGGTGACTAATGAGGAGTCCTGATGAGCAGAGACGATGCTGGTGCACAGACGGCAGGTGAGGGGCACACCTGAGTAAGACAGAGGGAAGTGGACACATATCCAGCCATGGTCCCTCCTTAGTCAAGTTCCCCAAGCAAGCGTCTTCCTCTTTTTTTTTTTTTACTTTTTTACATTTATTAATTTTTGAGAGACAGGTGGGGGAGGGGCAGAGAGAGAAACACACACAGAATATGAAGCAGGTTCCAGGCTCTGAGCTGTCAGCACAGAGCCTGACGCGGGGCTCAAACCCAAGAACCGTGAGATCATGACCTGAGCGGAAGTCGGACGCTTAACCGACTGAGCCATCCAGGCATCCCAACAACTGTCTTCTTAATAAAATCTGAAAGGGGCGCCTGGGTGGCTTAGTTAAGCAGCCATGCCACCATCCGCAGACTGGCCCAGCCCCCGGGCAACCGCTGTCCTGCTTTCCGTTTTGAATCCTTTTGTGTCTGGATTATCTCATTTAGTTCTCATGGTGTTGCAGTGAGTGATGGGATTCTCTTCCTTTTAAGGCTGAGTAATATTCCGTATCACCTGGGTGCTTTTTTTTTTTTTTTTTTATCACCTGGGTGCTTTAAACACCCTGTTGAAACCCCACCCTAGACCAAGTCAAGCCACCAACAGATCGGAGGGTGGGGCAAAGCCGCGGGCAGTCTCTTCTCTGCCTTCCTGGGGATTCTGTGATGAACCTCAGATGCAGAGAGAGCTTTTCTTCCAGGGCTGGTTTCCGGGGGGTGGGGGTGGGGGCTTAACTTCGTGGCCCTGATCTGAGGTTTTAGTTGGTGGGACTGTACCAAAGGCAGCATTAACTGTAGATTAATCTCCTCTCCTTGAGGGCGTTGGCGCTAGAGCGGCTTAGCCTCTGGTTTACTAGACTTCACCTGGTTAATCGGCTACAGCCAACACCCCGGATGCCAGGATTTTTCAGCCTCAGCACTGCTGATGTTACCCTTGGGGTCATTCTCTTTGTGGGGCCGACCCGGGCTGGACACACGAGACGGCGGCAGGAACTCTTGAATGTTCACCTGACACAAAATTCCCCAGAACTGAGAAATTATCCTGTCCCAGGAGATTCTAACTCACAGGCCAGATAAGGAGCCAGTTCATTAAACTAAATCAATGGACAGAGAATAGAAGAGCTGATTGCAGATACTTTCAGAAACGGGGCTGTTAGAACAGCCATCCAAGGGGCGCCTGGGTGGCTTAGTCGGTTAAGCGTCCGACTTTCGCTTAGGTCATGATCTCGCGGTTTGTGGGTTCGAGCCCCGCGTCGGGCTCT